ACTTCACCAGAGTCCTGACTGGCTTCGTAGGGAGTAGTTCCAGAGCATCGCCCAGGGACTCCGTGACAGTCTGCACAAGGAGTAAAGTCTCCTGACGCTCAGTTAGGTTACAGGAAAACAGAGGAAGGATTTCTAAGAGCCTGAACAGGGAATGTTCCCTCACCAGGTGGCCAAAGGTGTTGGCAGATATGGGACAATAGCTGTACAATTCCATGGAACAAGAAGATTGTTTGCACAAAGGTCATTTGAAGTGCTGTGTTGACTGGCACAAATCCTAGTGTTGTTAAGAACTAGAGACAAGGTGGGTGTGGTAATATCTTTGATTGGACCAACTTCTGTTAATGAAAGAGATACGTTTACACAGGGCTTTGTGTCAGGGCTGGGAAAGGTTCTCAGAAATTGTTTACTATGAGGAGTTAGCATGTTGTAAGAGACCATTCAAGGTGATGCGGGGGAGTTAACCCCTCTGCAGTCGTAGGATACTCCCACACCAGCATCAACTTCCTGGACACTATGAGCAGCTTCAACAAAGGAATCCTCCAGGAAGTTATGTACAAGAAACCCACGGATCACCACGCCTACCCTAATAGCTGCAATAACCAACCCAGACACACCAAGGAATCTGTTATCTACAGCCAGGCTCTCAGATACCACAGAGCATGCTCCGAGGAGAAAGTCCAGGATACACACCTTAGCACACTCAAAACCGCCTTCACCAAACAAAGACACTCCACCAGAGAAGTAGCTTGCATCATGGAATGGGCTGTCCCAGTACCCCAAGAGAACATCCTTCAATATGGAAAAAAAAATTCCCTCCAACTGCGCCCGAAGTTGTCATCTACCACCCCACCCTGGAACCCATATGGGGTATCATTAAACAGTTACAACCCATACTCTATGGCAGTGGTCTCCAACCTTTTTACTCACATGATCACTTTTTGAATTTAAGATCAACCCAGGATCTACCCTGCTCTTTCCCTGAGGCTCCGTCCCTTCCCTGAGGCTACGCCCCACTCACTCCATTCCTCCCTCCCTCCATGGCTCGCTCTCCCACACCCTCACTCACTTTCACCAGGCTGGGGCAGGGATTTGGGGTGCGGGAGGGGGTGCAGACTCTGGGCTGGGGCCGAGTGGTTCGGAGTGTGGGAGGGGGCTCCTGGCTGAGCCTGGGGCAGCGAATTGCAGTGCAAGAGTGAGGGGTGCAGGCTCTGGGAGGGGGTTTGGATGCAGGAGGGGGCTCCAGACTGGGGCAGAATGCTGGGGTGTGGGAGAGGTGAGGGGTGTGGGCTCTGGCATGGGGGTTGGGTACAGGAGGGGGCACCAGGCTGGGGCAGTGTTGGGGTGCGGGTTGGGGTGAGGGGTGTGAGCTCTGGGAGGGGTTTAGTGCAGGAGGGGGCTCCAGGCTGGGGCAGTGCTGGGGTGCGGGAGGGTGTGCGAGGTGCAGGCTCCGGCAAGGAAGTGCTTACCACAGGCAGCTCCCAGATGGTGGCGCAGTGGGGCTCAGGCAGGCTCTGTGCCTGCCCTGGCCCCACGCTACTCCCAGAAGCAGCTGGCTGCTGGCATGTCTCTGAGGCCCCTGAGAGTGAGGGAGGGCAGGGGGTCTCTGTGAGCTGCCCATGCCCACAAGCGCCGCCCCCACAGCTCCTATTGACTGGTTCCCGGCCATAGCAGCTGCGGGGATGGTGCTGAAGGCAGGGGCAGTGCACAGAGCTGCCTAATTCTCCCCCTAAGGGGCCTCAGAGACATGCCAACAGCCAGTTGCCTCCGGGAGCAGTGTGGGGCCAGGGCAGGCACGCAGCCTGCCTGACCCTGCCATGCTGCAGGACTTTTAGTCACCAGAGATTGCGATCAACTGGAAGAGGCTCCATGATCGACCAGTCGATTGCGATCGACCGGTTGATGACCACTGCTCTATGGGGATCACATCCTGAAAGAAAATTTTCCCACCTCCACCCCCTTCTGGCCTTCAAACAACCCCACAACCTTGCCAAGCTCATCATCAGGAGCAAGCTCCCCACAGTCCAGAACACACTAACTCAAAGTGGCACCAGCCCCTGCCAGAACAACAGATGCAAAACCTGAAGACATATCTCCACTGCTACAATCATCAACATCTCCCACAACACACCTTTCAAGATCCCAGGGTCCTATACATGCCCATCACAACATGTTGTACATCTCAAGTGCACTAAATGCCCCGATATCAACTATGTGAGAGAAACCCAACAAGCACAACAAAAACTCGGAAACTCACACAGGAAAACTGATAAATGACAAACACCACAGCACCCTGGGGGAAACTCTTAGAGACCAACCAATTTATTTGAGCATGAAAAGCTCACCACAGGAACAACTGATAAATGAGCAAACACCACAGCACCCTTTTGCGGGTGACTAACACGGCTGTTCCTCTGAAACTTTTCACAAAATCATCACTCTATATCTAACCTCTCAGACTTGGTCCACAAAGGAAACTTGCCCAGGGCCCTCAACAGACCAGTCTGAGAGCTTAAATTCATAACTTTGCTAGACACCAAAAATCACAGACTTCATAAAGACACTGGATTTATGGCTATTTCCAACAATCTGTAACCCACTAATTCCCCTTTGTGCTACAACTGCAGAGGAATTAACTGCCCTCTTCACCTTGAATGGTCTTTTACAACCCGTTAACTTCTTATGCTAAACAATCTGTTCCAGGTTGTGTTTAGCTGTGACACTCGGGAGTGCCGTCCCCAGAGCTGAAGCAGAGCTCCCTGCAAGCTCCAAAGCGGGTCTCTCTCACCAACAGAGCTTGGTACAGTAAAAGACATTGCCTCAGCCCCCTGCCCCAGTCTCTCTTATATCCTGCTACAACAACGTTCCTAAGATTTAGACATTTTGCATTATGGGCCCAGACCAGAGCCCTTGAGACCCAGCTCAGGGTCTCCCATGGGCCGCAATGGGCTTTGGCTCAGGCCATATATTAACAATCAGATTGTTTAGCAGAGGAAGCAAAGCTCCCAATGGAAATGTGTCAGTTGCCAACAGGTGACTCACTAGATGGGAAAGTGCTGGTTGCAGAGTGGGATACAGTCAGGAGACACTGTATGCAGGGGAAGTGTCTCCATAAAATCATAGAATCATAGAATCATAGAATATCAGGGTTGGAAGGGACCTCAGGAGGTCATCTAGTCCAACCCCCTGCTCAAAGCAGGACCAATCCCCAATTAAATCATCCCAGCAAGGGCTTTGTCAAGCCTGACCTTAAAAACTTCTAAGGAAGGAGATTCTACCACCTCCCTAGGTAACGCATTCCAGTGTTTCACCACCCTCCTAGTGAAAAAGTTTTTCCTAATATCCAATCTAAACCTCCCCCACTGCAACTTGAGACCATTACTCCTTGTCCTGTCCTCTTCTACCACTGAGAATAGTCTAGAACCATCCTCTCTGGAACCACCTCTCAGGTAGTTGAAAGCAGCTATCAAATCCCCCCTCATTCTTCTCTTCTGCAGACTAAACAATCCCAGTTCCCTCAGCCTCTCCTCATAAGTCATGTGTTCCAGACCCCTAATCATTTTTGTTGCCCTCCGCTGGACTTTCTCCAATTTATCCACATCCTTCTTGTAGTGTGGGGCCCAAAACTGGACACAGTACTCCAGATGAGGCCTCACCAATGTCGAATAGAGGGGGACGATCACGTCCCTCGATCTGCTTGCTATGCCCCTACTTATACATCCCAAAATGCCATTGACCTTCTTGGCAACAAGGGCACACTGCTGACTCATATCCAGCTTCTCGTCCAGGTCCTTTTCCGCGGCACTGCTGCCTAGCCATTCGGTCCCTAGTCTGTAGCTGTGCATTGGGTTCTTCCGTCCTAAGTGCAGGACCCTGCACTTATCCTTATTGAACCTCATCAGATTTCTTTTGGCCCAATCCTCCAATTTGTCCAGGTCCCTCTGTATCCTATCCCTGCCCTCCAGCGTATCTACCACTCCTCCCAGTTTAGTATCATCCGCAAATTTGCTGAGGGTGCAATCCACACCATCCTCCAGATCATTTATGAAGATATTGAACAAAACCGGCCCCAGGACCGACCCTTGGGGCACTCCACTTGACACCGGCTGCCAACTAGACATGGAGCCATTGATCACTACCCGTTGAGCCCAACAATCTAGCCAACTTTCTACCCCCTTATAATGCATTCATCCAGCCCATACTTCTTTAACTTGCTGACAAGAATACTGTGGGAGAACGTGTCAAAAGCTTTGCTAAAGTCAAGAAACAATACATCCACTGTTTTCCCTTCATCCACAGAACCAGTAATCTCTTCATAGAAGGCGATTAGATTAGTCAGGCATGACCTTCCCTTGGTGAATCCATGCTGACTGTTCCTGATCACTTTCCTCTCATGTAAGTGCTTCAGGATTGATTCTTTGAGGACCTGCTCCATGATTTTTCCAGGGACTGAGGTGAGGCTGACTGGCCTGTAGTTCCCAGGATCCTCCTTCTTCCCTTTTTTAAAGATTGGCACTACATTAGCCTTTTTCCAGTCATCCGGGACTTCCCCCATTCGCCGCGAGTTTTCAAAGATAATGGCCAATGGCTCTGCAATCACAGCCGCCAATTCCTTTAGCACTCTCGGATGCAACTCGTCCGGCCCCATGGACTTGTGCACATCCAGCTTTTCTAAATAGTCCCTAACCACCTCTTTCTCCACAGAGGGCTGGCCATCTATTCCCCATGTTGTGATGCCCAGCACAGCAGTCTGGGAGCTGACCTTGTTTAAAGGGGCAGTGTTGGGTGCAGAGGATAGGAAGGGTTAATAACAACTGCAGGGTGGTGACAGGATGAGATCCGGAGCCAAAGGGGAATTCCAGAATCCGCCCCTGGGACGGGCTTGGTTGAACACGTTTCCACTCTCACCTCCACTCACGGATTAATTAGGGGGCAGGTTTCAGGGCAGAGCAGCCCCAGCCTCCCACCTTCCTGCCCCTCTGACTCTCCCCTCTGGGTCGCAGGTGAAGAACATAGAGAAGCTGCAGCTTTGGCTCCTTGTCCTCGCTGGCCTCTCAGGAGCCGTCGCCCAGTCAGGTAGGGGCAGGCGGCAGTGCCGGGGGCCAAGCCCTGGCTGGGCACAGAATGACACAGCAGAGCGTGGGCTCCAGGGGGAAACTGAACAGCCTTCCTCTCAGTACTGAGGGTGCAGGGTCCTGTCAGAAATGCCCCGGCAGCCCTGTCCCGAGCCCCGGTGTGTCATGCTGCAGGAAGCAGTGCACAAGCTGTTCCTGGTTGGGCAGCAGTGCCCCACCCTGGGCATGGCAGAGAGCATCACTAGGGCAGCGTGCAGCAGGGACATGGGGGAGCACTGTCCAAACGCCTCTGACTGGGGAGCCCCAAACCCCGACAGCGTCTGCGTCACTGAGTCTGGCTCCCATGTGCAGCACCGCCAGCTCCCGCCATGTTCTCACTGTAACGGGATTGGTTGGGCTGGAGCCGTTGGCCCATTATGTGAGATGCTAGAGCCCTCTAGCAAATCTGAGCCCTCTGATTGGCTGCCTGCCCCACTTGCCCACCTCCTGGGGCAGAAGAACCAACCACAGCTGCCAAGGGCGCCAATTAGGTAGGGCGGGGGGGCAAGAGCCCTCCCCTCTCCCCCCAAGTTTCATACAGGAAGGATGCTCCCAGGTAGAGCTCTTTGAACGGCACAGCCTTGGAATGGAATGCAGAGAGGTGCTTCTCCCAGCTTGTGTCCCTGGGGCAGGGAGTCAGTGTTTTGTTTACAAACAGACGCAGGGTGATTAAGATAAGAAAAGGCTGGTAATTAAATTAAGGATCTGGAAGTCATTAGATGAACCTGTAAAAAACAGGAATCCCTGTGCCAGTGGGGGGTGGGGATTTGAAGAGAGAACTCAGGGGACTCAGAAGAAATACAGCCAAGCCCTCTGAGCCAAGTTCACATTCAGAAAAGAGGGAGATTTGAGGGGCATAGGAGAAAAGAAGGGGCCAAAACCCAGGGAAGGGATAGCAATGGTATAGAGAAGTTCCCACTCAACCTGTGATACTTATGTGGCCACATCACCGTAGTATCTGAGCACCTCACATCACAGCCCCTCAGTGAGGTAGAGCAGTGCTGTTATCCCCAATGTATAGATGGGGCACTGAGCCAAACACAGACTAAGGGACAGATTTTCAAAGGTACTTAGGCACCTAGTGGGATTTTCAAAAGCTCCTAGAAGCTTAGATGCTTTGTAAATCCCACTAGATGTCTAACTGCATCTTTAAAAAGAAAAGGAGTACTTGTGGCACCTTACAGACTAACAAATGTAATAAAGCATAAGCTTTCGTGAGCTACAGCTCACTTCATCGGATGCATACGGTGGAAATATAGTGGGGAGATTTTATATATATATATATATATATATATATAAGCAAGGACTTTCCAGAAGAGTACCCAGAAGTTACCTACTACAAGACAGGCCCAACAAAGAAAAAACAGAACACCACTAGCCATCACCTTCAGCCCCCAGCTAAAACCTCTCCAGGGCATCATCAAGGATCTACAACCTATCCTGAAGGACGACCCATCACTCTCACAGATCTCGAGAGACAGGCCAGTCCTTGCTTTTTGGTGAGCCCTCTCCTGTACCCCAAACTCCTCATTCCTGGCTCCACCCCAGAGCCCACATCCCCAGCCGGAGTTCTTACCCCCTCCAGCACCCTGAACCCCTCATTTCTGGACCCACCCTGGAGCCCAAGCCCCCAGCCCAGATCCTGTACCCCCTCCCACACCCCAACCCCCTGCCTCTGCCCAGAGCCCACTCTCACACTCTGAACCCTTTGGCCCACCTTCCTCCTGCACAACAAACCCCTCATCCTGGGCCCCACCCCAGAGCCTGCACCCCCAGCTGGATTCCTCACTCCCTCACTCCTGCACCGCAACCCCCTGCCCCTAAACGAGTGAGTGAGGGTGGGGAAGAGTGAGCAATGGAGGGAGGGTGGATGGAATGAGTGGGGGTGGGGCCTCGGAGAAGGGGCAGGGCAAGGGTGTTTGGTTTTCTGCAATTAAAAAGTTGGCAACCCTACCTGACAGAGCTGTGTACGGTGGGGCGAGAATAGCAGGGGGAGGCCTGAAGCTGGACAAGCTAGCCACCTTGGAAACATTAGAATGAATCCAGCCTTTTCCTCTCACTTCTCCACACAGATCTCTGTGGGCAGGTGTTTGTTTTTCCAAAGGAGTCTGCTGATGCCCATGTTATCCTGAACATGAACAACAATGGTACTCTGCAGACCTTCACCATGTGTCTGAGATATTTCACTGACCTGACCCGGGCCTTCAGCCTGTTCTCCTACGCTACCAGGACCAGAGATAACGAGATCCTCCTCTACAAAGACAAGCCCGGAGAGCTCAGCCTGTATGTTGGGGGGGAACCGGTGACCTTCAAAGTCCCAGAAAACAAAGGCACAAGCACTGGCTGGGAGCATGTTTGTGCCAGCTGGGAATCCGCCACAGGTATAGCCGAGCTCTGGGTGAACGGGAGTCCCTGACCCAGGAAGGGGCTGAAGAAAGGCTACGCTATCAACAACCAGGGTGTGCTCATCTGGGCGCAGGATCAGGACTCCTTTGGGGGTGGATTTGATGCCAAGCAGTCATTTGTAGGGGAAATTGCTGATGTGTACATGTAGGATTGTGCCACCCCGACTGTTGCAATGCAGGCTGCCAGCGATGATTTGCAGCTGCCCCACTCCATCGTGGGCTAGGGCAGTTTGCAGTATCAAATAAAGGGTTACGTGGTACTTAAACCCATGCTGGCATAAGGGTCCTATTGAAATGCAGCCTTGCCTTGGGAACAGGGGCCTGGCCATCCAGCTCCAAACCCCATTGGTGCATGACAGCGAATAGTGATGCACACACTCCAGCGGCATCTGAGCAAAGCTAGCACCAACCTCTGCTCTTGTGAATCCTATGGGAACAGTGTGAAATCAACCAATCCCTAGTGTTCGTGTCATTTGAGCATTTACCTGTGTCTAAAGCCTGGTCTGCTTCTGTATCCCAATAAATGAGATGACCTTCCCCCCTGCAGCCTGTGGTGTATTGAGAATCCCAGCACAGCCCCACTGGGCGCAGTCTAAGAATGGAAATCCGGGTTGTGACCCATTGTGTCAGTGGGTGCTGAGAATTCTGGGTTCCTAATGTTCACGGCCACCACAGGAGTCAGTTCTTCCTTGTGAGAACCAAACAAGAGGATCCTGTTCAATATTAATACACACACCAGAACCTCAAAAACAGTCCCCATTCCATAGTGTTACAGGATCCCCGGGGTACAACCTGGAACTGGGGTACCACTGTGCTCCCTTAACTCTCCAGCCTGGGCTGTCTCTCACAATGCTTTGCTAGTAACAAGCAGCAAACCCCTCTAGGTGCTGTTATCACTCAATACAACAACATGTGGAGCGTCACACCCAGCTAGATTGCATGAATGCTCCCCAAGCCACTCACAAATCACACAGAGAAAAGTACCAGCAAATCTCCCAAGCCCCCAGCCTTGCACCCCAGAACTGTACTGTCTTGTCATGGTCAGAAGCCTGACCAGTGTAAATTCATTATCCAGTCTGCCCCTTCCTCAGTGTGGCGTGGACACACAGTAGCTTTTAGAGTAGCAGCCGTGTTAGTCTGTATTCGCAAAAAGAAAAGGAGTACTTGTGGCACCTTAGAAACTAACCAATTTATTTGAGCATAAGCTTTCGTGAGCTACAGCTCACTTCATCGGATGCAGTAGCTTTTGTAACCTGAGCTGAGATTTCCCAAGCATTTCAACCAAAACACATTGTTTTATATTTTACCTAAAACAGATTTATTAACTACAGAAAGATAGACTTTAAGCGATTATAAGTGGTAGGCACAACAGGTCAGAGATAGTTACCAAAGAAAATAAAAGGTAAGCGCACAGTCTAAATCTTAAACCTTATTAGACTAAGCCATGTTTGGATCAAGAAGTTCTCTCACCTCACTCAATGTTGCAGGTAGGTTATAGTCCTTAATACACAGGCTTCCCTTTAAGCCTGGGACCAGTCTCCTCAGTTCAAGTCTTTGTCTTCTCCGTGTTCTTGTTGCTTCCTGCATAGGTGCGGGAGGAGAATGGCATCATGCTTTGACCTTTGTCCCCTATATTATATCCTCAGTCCATGTGCCTGGAAAACACTAGCCCAGACATGTCCTGCTGGGCTTTACTTACTCATAGGGTTGAACAATCTCCAGTTGTGTGGTGCTTCTCTTATAGAATTGTAAATCCCTTGTTTACAACTCCTCTGCTGATTAATGGTCACTTAACACCCTCCTGGGAATGGATCACCACCTAGCAGTAGAGACTGTCAAATTTACAATGTATTCCAGTAACAATCATACAGCAAAATCTCATAACTTCATACATAAGAAAGATATACATATTTGAACAGAACGATGGGTTTCAGAAGATCATGACCTTTCATATGATATCTTACATGGCATGCTTTGTATGAAATAAATCATCGCCTGTGCCAGAAATGATCTACATAAAATCCCTTAATCTGGTATCAATTCAAGTCCCTTGGCCACCAAATTCTCTTTGTGGAGCCAGTTACACCTAGAATTCTGGTGCTGTCATTGGTGGTTACACTTAATACTGCCTTGAGAGGTACCTGACAAAGGCTCACGGAGGGAGCGTGACAGAACGGAAACGTGGTTGGCTCTGGATGCCATGTTGCAGCTCGGGTACAATCCAGGGTCAGGTCAGTCGCCTTATCTTCCGTGCACTGCTTTGTAGCCTTTGCTTTGATTTAAAATGAATTTTAGTGATGTCATATTACATCATCGAGGGTTTGGCTTTGGCAGCTACAGTCTCAAGTTCAACAGAGTTATCTATGCTTCTTTTTGATCTACAGCTCATGGAAACACATGAAACCATAGGCAAGTAACACAGACAATCACAAGAACAAGCTCCGCTATCTTTTATCAACTTTATTAAAGTTACCAACAAAGATATGAATGTTCCAGCATATACAACTCCTAAATATATCCATGTACCAGTTATAACTACAGACATACTCACATCCTCCTAGATACTGTTAGAGTCTGATGGCTCTCTCATGGATTGATCATCAGTAGAGGGATGGTTCCTGCTGGAGTTCTCCCATAGGAAGCTCAATTTTCCCGGGCATCCCCTTTTTATAATGTGATTCTGTCTATACCTACATTCTGCATATGTCCATGAAAGTGTCAACACTCTTTTTCCTTATTGGTCTGTGTCCCCCATAAATATATGGGACCCCAACTTTCATAAGTCATGTAGGTTCTCTTTATTCTCATTAGCATTGACACACAACCTGTATTGTGTGGTTAACACACATGCTGGAGACAGATGTGCCTCTAATTTTAAATCATAAAAATGCTGTAATCTTCCATCTACTTTTTTACAATATTACCACTTGTTACCTCTTTTCCCATAATCTTAGGGCATTGGGTTATTCTTCAGTCACTTACTTATGTCAGCATTTCTTAGCTCCAAGGCCTAAAATAGCTAAGCTAAAGTTCTGCTAGCCTCAGCCTACGGGTCTTGCACTTTAGTCTTGCTTACTTAGATATCTTATAAATGATTCCCTCTAAATACGGATCAATCTTATACTTCTATAATCCTACACTTTAACCCTCTTTAACATACGATTCTGTATGACATAACATGTTAGTTAATTATAACATCACACAATAACATTACAACAAACGAAAATCATTGGCTACATCTTTGAGACAACATCTGACTGGTATGGTCTGGTCCCCTCCTGCCAGGATAAAGCTGTTCACATCAGTACAGCTACAGCTGTGAGCTAACAGACAGGACCAGTTGCAAAGCTGACTGAGCTTGCCAATGATTGGACAGCCAGAAGAAGGCAGACAGAGACTGTCAGATGGGTTGAAATGAGACATCAGGGAAGGGAGCAGCAGTATTCTCAAACTGGCATCCTGGAAGTTGCTGAGGCTCCAGCAGTCCTGTGCTGATGGTCTGATGTCCTCTCTGGACCCTTGCTATGGTCTCCCTGGTTCCAAAGTTGTCCACCTATGGTCTGGGTGTAGGGGAAAAGCTCCCCAAAGTTTAGAGACAAATGGCTTGCACAAGCCATAGGTGAGTTCTGGTGTTTGTAGCCTTTGGCAAAGGGCTCCCCAAAGAAATGTCCAAAAGGGGTGTGGCCAGCCATCACCATCCCATCCCAGAGTCTAATCAGAGATGGTTTCTGGTCCCTCTTGATACAGATTTGCTAATGCACTTCCCTGGAAATCACTAAGCTTATCCTGGCCTTGGGAATCTCAAACTATGGCTATTCCAGTCCAAAAAAAGTCCACTGACAAAACCTTTTGGATTCTGCTCTCTCCTTGTTCTAAATGTATGTTTACACAGCAATGTGGTTATGGGTCCAAATGACTGTAATGGGGGCACTCTCCTCCTGAGTGCCTACTAGAGGCTGGAAGTGGTGCTGCAATCTTTCCCCCCACTACTGGCACCCCCTGTTGGGCTCCTGACCTTGATAGGCAGATCTTCAGTAGCTCAGCCCTCCAGCCAAGTCACACAGTTGTTGTGGACCTTGTCTGGGGTAACAAAGAGTTCACCAAACTGTCTGCCTCCAGTAAGGTCTTCAGCCCAGACCCTGGACCCTTTAAATCTAGCCCTCTGCTTGGGCTTCTAAAGTAGCATTGCCTCCTTCTCGGGGCTTAGGCCATTTTGCCAGTGGCCGGGAGGTGGTGATTGGCGGGGAGACGCAGGCCACTCATGGCTCCAGGTCCAACCCAGGGACACTATAAAGAGCAGCCATGGACTCTTCCTTCAATCAGCTCCTGCTGCTTATCTGGGTGTCTTCCCACCAGGCCCTTCACCTCCCACCGTGACTTCAGGGTTACAGCTCTCAGGCCCTCTCACTCCCAGGACCAGGAAATGCATCCAGTCAAGCTCCTGTGGCGGGAGCGCAGCCCCGTAAACCTCCCCCCCCTACACACACCCCAGCTCCACCCTGCCCGCTATGGCCCCAGGCGGGAACAGACAGGCCTATCCCCCCAGCCTAGCCTCTCCCCACCCCGCCTCTTTGGTCCCAGCCAGGAACTGACTGACCCATCCAGCCATGCCCTGTCGCCTCTGACTCCACCCTGCTGAGCCAGCGACCAGACCCAGGTCAGAGTCAGCCCAGCTCACCAACTGAGCTGGTGAGGCCCTGCTGCTCCTTTTATCTGAGCCTGCTGGGCTCTGATTGGTTGCTTCTGGGAGGTCTGTCTAGGCAGGTCTGGAGGACCCCCTTCTGCTGCTCCTTTGGGGGAGGAGGGAGGTAGTAGAGCCACAGGGCCTCCAGCAGGGCCCACAAGGCTGAGTGCGCGCTGTCCCAGTGACCCTGCACCACTCCGTTTAGAACAGGGAATCGGCAGTGAGCCAGAAAGAAGAACCTCAGACTGGACAGGCACAAACGCCAGGCCTGGCTGCATGCAACCGGCTCTGGGGAAATGTGCTCAGGGACAGAGTAGCTCAGCCAGACCTGTGGAAGGTGAAGGCAATTGTAGAGTTGGAAAGACCAGGAGCCCTCCAGAGACTCTGACCATGTTAATATAGCTAAGCAAATTCACCTCCCGCTCTGCCCGCGGGCATCTCAGAGGAGCCCTGGGCACAGCATGC